CGGATGTTATTTTCAGTTTCATGCTGAGTGGGGCTGTTGATTTCCACACAGACTTGACGTGAGTAATGAAAGCCTATCTTGCTTTTCCGATCCACGCTGCTTTGATATCCTCGTCAGTTCGGTCGGCCTGTAGTTGAAACGATGCTTCCCAGGTACGTGGCCAGGAATCTTCATCACCTCTGCTTTTTCTATGTTCACCTGTAGTCCTATCTTTGATGCTTCTTCTTCCGTCGCTAACTTGTTGCTTTTCACCTGCATATCTTTCAGTTTGTGGGTAATCAGACATATATCTTCATCGGCGAAGTCCAGATCCTCCAAGTCTCTTTTTGTGTGAGTCCATTTTATGTCTGTTACCTCATCGCCCGTTGGCTGTCGCATTATCCAATCTACTGCAATCAGGAAAATGATTGGCGATAGTAGAAAGCCTTGCCTCACTCCCGTCCTCACTTCGAAGGCTTCCTTAGGTTCCCCGTTGTGGATTACTTATCATGCAGCATTGTCGTACAACTGTTGGATGAGATGTAGTGGCGAAGTAGTTTCCAAATCACCTCTCGATCGACGCTGTCGAAGGTCTTTTCAAAGTCGATGAAGTTGAGTGCGGTGGAGAGGTGACTGCCATTCCAAGCTTTGTTCAATGATGATCCGTAGTGTGGCGATTTGATCGATACATGGTTTGTTTCTCCTGAATCCGGCCTGTTCCGTTCGAAGTTTTTCATCCAGGGCTTGTTTGATTCTCTCCAGGATGTTGCAGCTTAGTAGCAGAAAGCATAACTTCACCAAAACTTTGTCTTATCAATCGACCAGCCAAACTAGCCAGTCAGTTATAATATCATCTAAGAGAACAGGGTAACCTGAATCGTCACATCCTGAAATACATATATAAACACCTGGTTAAACTATTCCATGTCAAAACACTAATACAATCAAGATTAACAAAAAATCAATTTTTCAGCTGAATATCAACACTTTTATGATAAGCCATTTAGAAGATAAATTTCGCGGAAAATGATAACGTCATTTCGTAGTTTCTTTACAACCGCTTTACAACTAACATGGTTGACAATAATAAAATAAAGTTCATCACAGTAAAGAAAGACCACATGTCGAAAAGACAGCTTCTGTGGCTCAACGGTATATGAGCTCGCTGGCCTTGTAACCTGAAGGTCCTGGGTTCGAATCCCCCATTGTGGGTGTGTGCTGATGATGGGTCCTAAACTAGGACGAAACAGCTGTCCAGTACTCCCAGCTGGTTTTCCAATGACTCTCTAACCAATGTCAGCTCACGATCAAATCCTGTTACCAATCAACCAAATCTCCACAAAACACTACTCGAAAGCTATCTTTATTAACCTACTATTCAAGGGTGACCAGATTATGCAGTTTACCAACTCAATGACTTCGGTCAGCCATCAAAAGCACATTCTACACCGCATCTCTTTTTCTCACTTGTCGAACATTTTCGATCCCTGTACCTAAAGGACGAAATTCTGTCGACTCTACTTCAAACTGTATCTACAAGCTCACCTGCAGTTGCAGTGACACACACACCTATATAGGTAGAACCAATAGAATATTCCAATGTCGTGGTCGAAAAGAACATGTTCCAAGATGGCTACTAAATCATATAGAAAATCCCAATGCGATTAATCTGAATAGAAATCCAGCATCATCCAATGCAAAACACTCATTAATGTCAGGTCACAAAATCAATATTAATGACCACTTCATAATTAAATAAAGTATAATTATAATTCAATAGTTTACACACAATGATAAGTTTTGTTATTGGTGATATTTCGAGCAAAACTACTGCCCGTGTTCACATCACTGTTGGAATTGTTTTATTCGCACATTTATGATTTGTACTCAAATATGTAGTTCATTATTGTTATTTTTCGGTTCATTCATGTTTTTGTATTCAGAATTATATTCCAAGTTGTTGATAGTTGTACTGAGTTACCCGGTGTAACCTTAATGAATATCGATTCTGTTATGAGTCTTTCTTTCCATTTGTTCATGTTAGTTTTTAGAGTACACACATTGTTCCAATCGATATTGTGGTTTTTGTCCCATGCATGTGCAGCTATCGATGAATTTTTTTCAAGATTCTTGTAGGCTTGTGTTCCTGTTGATTGACCTTTGGTTAGGCGTCTATGTTCATTCACTCTTATTTTGAGTGATCTGGACGTTTGCCCTACATATTTAGTCGGACAGTCAGCATAAGATATTTTGTAAATCAGATTCTTTTTATCCATCATTTTTATGGGATCTTTCAGTGGATTTATTTTATTTTTGATTAGATTCGTCGGTTTAAACGTTGTTCGAATGCCGATATTTTTGAGGTTTCTTTGAATTGCCTCTGATGTACCATATTTTTATATGGTATTGTGACTGTCTTTTTCCACTCTTCCATCTTGTTATTCTCCGGGTTTACCCTTTTTTTCTCTTTTTTATATTATCTTTTATAAATTCTTTAGGGTAGTTGTTTTCGAGTAGCATTTTGAATAGGACTTTTATTTCTTTACACTGGTCCTCTGGTGTTGTTGTAAATCGTCTACGTATTCTATCTGCAAGACCTTGTATTAATCCTCGTTTTGCCGTGAGTGGATGAGCTGAGTGATAATCAAAGAATCTTCCAGAGTGTGTGGTTTTTCTACACAGCGTCGTTTTTATGCTACCATCTGTCATTCTTTGTAGTTTGCAGTTCAACATAGGCAGTTCCCCAATTTCACAATTATTTCCCTACATAACTTAAATTCAAGATTGGTTATTAAATGTGATGGAAGCACTTTGGGGATTAATCACATACAGCCTAAACTGTGTGTACAAAAAACAATAGACTTCAATCTTCGCCTACCATGGACTACATGACCTATTTAAATATGATTGGTTATAAGTATGTATTAAAAGTCAATCTGAACGAAGAATATTCTTTTCAATAATTTCTCTTCAGGTTCTTACAATTATAAAATATAATATTTGTGGTCGTTACAATAATGGCCAGTTATGCGGCGGATACATTTTTAGCGTAGAATAACAGATTAGTTATAGGGTGTGTCAAAATAAATAGTCATATTTGTGTAACAAACGTGCTAGGCTGAAATCGATTAGAAAATATTGTAAAACGGCAGATAATGGTGGTGATTAATCATAATAGAATTGTAGAGTGTGGGGTAGGAAAATTGACAAGTCAGTTCAAGGTTATAAAAGGTGTCAGGTGAGTGGCTAGCACAAATTGGTCTGAGTTTGCATAAAAGGCATAAATTATGACGAATAATAATATTAACTGTAATAATAATATTTGTAATAATAAGCACAGTAAAAAAGAAAAATAACCAAGAGGGTTAAGGGGAAGGAGCACTCTTGGTGAGAAGAAAAATCTTCAATCCAATGTTGGCCATGGTAGGAACAGCGTCTGGACGTGTTCTTTTTGGATACAAAGTTCCGGTTTACTCGATCTTATTGCAACAGCTTCAGCTATGTGTAGGAGACGTAAGTGAACTGTACGTGATAACGACTTCGGAATTCGGTATATAACACTGAAAGCTGTGTTGACATCGATGCGATGTCCAGTATCGACCAAGTGTGACAGGATCGAGCTTTTTATGCACTTAATTTCCCCCTGCTGAACCAAGCTGGTAAGTGTTCTCGAACCCGTAGATGAACCTGCCTAATTGTGCGCCCTATATAACTTGAACCACAGGAACAGTTGAAATGGTATATGCATGAAGAAGAGCTAAGGCTAGGTAAGACATCTTTGATTTGCTGGATGAACATTGGACGGCTAGTGAAGGATAGACACAGACGTGCAGAGTAGAAAGTTTTCTTGATCTCCCTGGTTAAACGTTGGGATAGAATCTCCGCAGGAGTATCTCCCTTGAATTGGAGACGTAAAAACAAAGGCTTTTTCTCCGCAGTTGCCAGTTCATGTTTACGACTATTATAACCTATGTTGGCTTTAATGAATTTTTCTGGATATCCTTTCTCGCTTAGAATGTCTCGGATGACCTGGAGTTCTTTCTCTATGCGCTCTTCGGAACAAATAGACCTCGCTCTAAATGCTAAGCACCTGACTAAATTACGTTTGTATTTCATCGGTACGAAGCTAAGGAAATGTGTATACTGAGCTTTGGTCTCTAGCTTTCTAAATATGTTTCGTTTGATGGAACCATCCTCTCTTCTCGTTAGTAGGACGTCGAGGAAGTGTAAAGAGTCGTTGTATTCTCCTTCGTAGGTGAAATGGACCGCTGGGTGAGCATTATTGAAGTTGTTCAAAATCAAATCATCGTACACTACAAAAGTGTCATCCATGTAACGACAATACATTTCCATTTTCGCTATTTCCTCTTTCAACGGACTATTTTCTAGTTTTGCTAGAAATATATTCGCGAAAATAGGTCCCAGTGGGGATCCCATGGCTACTCCATCAACCTGTCTGTATATTTCATTATTAAATAGGAACTGAACATTCGTTGTGCATTTAACAAGTAGTTGTTTCAGATTACTGATAGGAATATCACTGCACAATTTCTTTTCTATAGTCTGTTCACAGATATAATCGATGGTTTCCACTAGAGGCCCATCAGTGAATAGAGATGAAACATCAAGTGATGCCATATTATTTGCCAGTCGCGTTCAATTTTTTGATCTTATCAACAAATTGAAAGGTATCCTTGACACTGTGCTTTACTAACTAGTATGTAATTTTGTTTTTTTATTTAACTGAGTAATTTTCATGAACTTTATTTTATTATTGTCAACCATGTTAGTTGTAAAGCGGTTGTAAAGAAACTACGAAATGAAGATATCATCTTTCACGAAATTTGTCTTCTAAATGCCTTACTTATTCAAATTTATCAAAGGGACTAATTGTTGTTTTAACTTCTATAATAATAGTACTTCAATACAATTTACAATTTTCAATAATTCCAAAAATAGTGTACTCTGATATGTACATTATTTTTTATGCTGCACAAAATAGTAATTAATACGTTTCAAGTATACATTCGTGGATATTGGACTTTAATATTAATGAAATAAGGTTGTAGTGTTGATGTGATGGAAAAAATAACAACAACATACAAACGAGATTTTGACTTGCTGTAAGCTAGCATTGTGCTCAATCATTACAATTGAGAATTCGATTGAAATATTTACGAAAAGGTGAGCGGTAAAACTCGACACTTTTTAATTCTTGTTTCTAATAATGCCTTACCTGAAACCTTTAACTGAGTAATTCTAACGGCTGGGAAAGACAATATTTTAAGCATTGGTGATTAGTATATGTGTAAAACTTGGGCACTGTAGTAGTAAGTAATTCCATATTGGTTTGGTTATTAGATGTATCACACAGTGAGTGAAACAGTATTATTTACTGGATGACAAGGTTTCGAACAAAATTTATTGTTCATAATCATGCCATCAATTGTAATCATACAACTTTGAAACTTGAGTTTTATAGGTTTCTTTGTCTTCTCCTATTTGTTGTAGGGGTAATAGAATTTTCCAGATATCAGGGATAGGTGCCGAATCGTTCCTATTACATGTATTTGCGGCTGACTCGATAAACAAAGCTTCTGTTATCAATCTCTCCCTATACCCTGTGACATTAGATATTAAAACTGTCATCCTATACCCATCCTATTGTATGGTTGTGTGTAGTTGCATGTATTGAGTGCTATAGCTGAACTATTCTCTAGATTTCTTATCTTATTAGGGTCAACTAATCTAGATTTTGATAGGTTTTTATGTTCGGCCAGTCTGACTGCCCCTGTTCTACTATTCTTACTTATGTATTCGACCTGACAATCATTGCAGGTAGAGTATTAGATAAACTAAATTGTTTTGTTTTAAAGGCTCCACAGGATCCTTCAACCAGCAAAGCTTGTTTCTAATTGAGTTTTTGGGGGGTTTGAATGCCAGCCACGTTTATTCCTGCCTTGTTAAGAATTCTGCGTAAGGCTTCCGAGGTTCCTTCCTTGTATGGAATTACTGTTGATGATTTAGATTCCATATTGTTGGTGTCGTCATTAATATTATTATTATTATCATTACTAGTGTTATCATTATTATTATTATCACTATCGCTATTGTAGTTATTTATTTTATTTTTACATTTCCTTACATATTTCCTGACTAATTTATCCGGATGATTATTAAGTTTCAAGGCTTCTTTTATGTGTATCAATTCATGTCTTAGATTTTCCTTGGTACCACATAGATTTTGTGCTCTGTCACTTAAACATTTCACCAATCCTATTTTTACTGACATAGGATGGAATGATCGGAAGTCCAAATATCTGTTTGAATGTGTGGGTTTTCTGTAAACACTAGTATTTAACTTCCCATATTCTTTCCTTTTTACGTTGCAATCTAACATTGGAAGCTCCCCTACCTGACTTTCTAATTTGTAAGTGAATTGAATTACCTATACCTTCTAGTTGATGCGTTCGAAAAGTCTATCTATATCCTGTGTTCTGAGTACAGTGAATGTTTCATCTACTTACCTACACCTCCAAAAATATGGTGGTGTTTAGGCTGGAATAAGCTCTGCTCGACATAAGTTTATTCATTTTTGACAGTGTCTATCAATAGCTCGATTATAGATAAGATTTCATTTTGATAAATCACACAGTGTTGTAAAGTAATATTAACTGATGACCACGTTTCGAGCACAAACTATTGCCACTCATATAAAGACCTTCACACAACCTTCTTGCTTCATTTATATAAATGCGTAAAAAATTGATTAGATATTTGAATAAAATCAATATACGATAAAGTACTTTCAGAAATAATATTTTAACAACAGAAGACAAGGGCCAGGCAACAGATCGTTTATTAAAGAAATCAACACATATTTATAGATTTTCATGTACCTTATTATAGATTATTGTTAGCAGAAAAATACACTACTCTGATTGGTTGTTTCTCATAGAAAGGTAACCTTGTATCTCTTTGTGACTGTTTCTTCAATATCAGATCATCTATATGTTAACTGTATCCGCCTACGCAAAGCCTTTGTTCTCATTTTTCCCACGACCAATATTAGTGACATGAACATTGAAGTAAATTACTATCCACCAACTTTGGCTAACAGCCAGCTCTCACTACAATATTAGAGTTAAATAACCATCCTATAAAATTCATTAGGAAGATCAAATAAAGGTCAGAAGCAAAGTAAAAATAATGGCGAAACTAATAATGATGACATAATTAAGAAAGAAGAAAAGGCATCTGCAGTTTTACCATATAAGGGGGGGGCATCTGAGACCCTACATAAGATTCTTAATAAAGCAGGAATTTTGGGTTACATTCAAACCTACAAACTCACTCAGGTAAGATAAGCTCTGTAGGTTAAAGGATTCGGTGAACACAATTAAACAAAATAATATAATTTACAAAATTCCTTGCAATGACTGAGAGTTAAGTCAACTACATAGGTCAAACCAGTAGATCGGGAGTAGTCAGATTGTCGGAACATAAGAATTTGGCTAAGGTAAGAATGGTTGACCACGAGAAGAGAAGTAATTTAGAAAAAACTCAGCAACTGCACTGCATAAATGACGTTGTTTGTATTGAAAACCCGACCAAATTTTGTTGTTGATGCTGAGTGACTAGGATTGGTTTTCCAGAATGTGTTTCTCGTCTTCCCGATTCTCGATTTGACATCCTCGTCCGTTCCGACTGCCTGTATTTGAGACAATGCTCCCTAGCCAGATAAGTGAATGAAGCAACTAACCTCTTTCAAATCCCTTCCGTTGATGGTGATTGACGCTGGATGTTTCTGCTGCTGTTGCTGTTGTTGGTTATTTTCATAGCCTCTCTCTTGTCTGTGTTCACTTGGAGTCCTGTCTTCACTGTCTGCTTCTTCAACTTGTTTGTCGGTTTTCGCTTGTAAGTCTTCGATTTTGTGTGACATCAAACATAAATCATCCACGCGCGAAATCCAGGTCTTCTATGTTTTTCACGTCTTCTCGTTTCCCACTCACTGTCTGACGCATAATCCAGTCAGTCCACCACAGTTAGGAATATCATCAGTGGTAATAAGCGCCCTTGTCTAATTCCTCTGTTTACTCCAAACGCCTCGCTGAGTTTTCCGTTGTGGATCACTTGACATGTGTAGTGGTCGTACAGCTGTTGAATAAGGTCGCCTAGATTACCAGCTTGCTAGTTTTCTAGCCGGTCTCAAGCCCGGATAAAAAGGGAGGATTGGGGCGTGGTGCTAGCGACTCCACCCCACACTCAACCAAACAGCTGCAGAAACTTTAATGCACCAATATATGAAAAATTCAACAGTATGAAGGGTTAAAATCTCGTAGATTTCCTAACGTTCCATGTGTATAGGAAATCGAGTTTTGTGTCTATAGTTTTGCGTGTATATATATAGATTTGAATGGGAAATCTGTTACATAGGTAGTCTGAAGTTCTTTCATTCCACTGCACTCAGAGTGAGGAATACAGCTTCAAGTATGAGTCATAAATTTTCAGCAGCAGTGGGGATGTTAACCTCATCACCAACCTCCACTCTTTTCCAGGTTTACTGGCGATTGGTAAACTAGTTGGGGTTTTGTAGTGAGTTGTCAGGGTATCGGACTCTAGACCTTGTGTGTGGTTAACGGACATTCTAATATTTAATCACCTATGCACAAAACCAAGGGGGACCGGACAGATGTTTTGCTCTAGTTTAGGACTCTTCAGCAGTACGTATCAACGACCCAACAGGGGATCGAACCTAGGAACTTCAGGTTACCAGTCCAATCTCGTTGACCGTTCAACCATTCTGGCCAGTCTAGTATATATATATATACCCACCTTTGAAAATAGGTAAATAATTAAATAAATTTTCAAGAGCTGATTTGTAGGGATTTGATTTGTCCCAAGCTTGATCACGGATTGATATCAGTTAGAGAACTATTGGGAACTAGGGAGCACTGCACAGTTGTTTCGTCCCTCTCTGGGGTTCTTCGTTAGTGAGCCTTCACTGAAACTCGATCCCAGGAGCTTCTGGTCACAAAACTACAAGACGAAATTTTCTGAATTTCTGCTGAGAATTTATGACCACTGGGGTCCATCAGTTCAAGAAGAGTGAAGACAAACACTTGCCAATGGCGTTAGCTGGTGGTCTCGATAAAAATCACCAATTGCTAGAAGTTAGAATTGATGGACTGGTCATTGAATTTGGTCCCAATGGCTGGATGAGCTTGACTTGTAACTTGAAGGTCTTGGAATGGGTACTGCTGAAGAGTCCAAAACCGGGGCGAAACAGCTGTCTAGTATTCTGTGGTTCTTCATGGGCCTCAAAATGATGTCAATCGTTGATTTAAATTGATTTCATTTTCAAGATATGTGGATGCTTCTCTGAGCCTTGTGATCCGCAAATTACGAATAGGCTAAAAATAGAAACACACCAAGCCACATTACTGGAGGTCCATACTTGTATGTGTTTATCACAAAGGTCTGATAAAAACTGAGTTTTGCAAAGAAATATCACACTATGTAGGCCAACTTTATAATTCAACCTCCTTTACCTACCTGGGAAGCATCGTTTCAACTACAGGCCGACGGAACTGACGACGATATCAAAGCAGCGTGGATCGGAAAACCAAGACAAGCTTTCATTACTCACGTCAAGTCTGTGTGGAAATCAACAGCCCCACTCAGCATGAAACTGAAAATAACATCCGGATTTTCAACTCCAATGTGAAGTCAGTCAGTGCTACTTACCACACGGATTAGAAACTTGGCCAGCGTGTCATAAAGAGCATCTCAAACAAACTACAGACCTTCATTAACAGTTGTCTTCGCTCAACACAACTCAAGATCAGATGGCTGGCCAGAAAAGATCACCAACAGGGAGGGATCTCTGGCAATGAGCGAACCAACCCAGCAGAAACCGATTGGGAAACAAATAGGCAGGAAGAAATGGAGATGGATTGGCTGGCCACACTCTGAGGAAACAAACCATCGAGTGACATCACTAGACAAGCCATTGCTCGAGTGGAACCTGGCCGAAAGGGAAGCAGCGAGTTGGTCGTCAGTGCAAGGGTGGGGTGACTTAGAGGAGGTCATGTGAAGAGGAGATGAGAGCGTGTGGGCAGACTTGGAGTGGGATGAAAATGTTGGCAGAAAACCGAAGGCAATGGGGACTTGGGTGGCTGAAG